TGGACTGTGTTGTATGTATTTGGAAATAGAAACCTAAAAAACATTCAGATAAGATTAAAAGTTTCTGCTCTCAAGTAAATCTTAAACTCAAATGGGGACACCATTTCTACCTTTTCTGCCTGTCAGGTGCCTCTCAGACTAACAAACTATTTTTTCAGCCTCAGTACAAAGTTTTAGGAGCGGTCTGACAGAAGTAAACAAAAGAAGGCAAAGCACAAAAGTAACGGTGAAGAAGCTGAACCACAATCACAAAAAGAAATCTGAAAATCGTGACATACTTAAAGAGACAAGGTCAATGTAAGCCTGTTGTGCAACTACGCTCACCTAGCTGAGATGGTTGCCATGACAACACTTCCTGCTTGATGCCAGAGTGATCAGTACATAAGCACTGACAGCTCCTGACACACTGAAAGCAGCTATGAAAAAAACATTTATTTAATTCTCCCCTCGACCTAAAACAATACAAATAAAGTAAAAGTATTTCTTGAGGGAAACAAGAGATATACTGCTTTTTATGTAGGCTAGTTAAAGTTGACTTATTACATTTTTAAAGTAAATATTACTGCTCACAGCATCACCACCACTCCTGTAGATTCATCTGCTGCTCTGTAGGGTGCAAGTCATAGCAAGACAGACTCAGTGTATGGTAGTAGACCTTAAGACTACCAAAACACACAAAATCCAGAGCACGTGTGCACACACACACACACATATACACATACATACAGTAAAGTGTTGGCATTAAATGAACACCACAAAAGAAATGCAAATGAAAACTTGCAATTTTTCTCTTCTTTCGGCTGCTCCCTTCTTTAGCAGACACCTCAGTGAACTAACGTGCACAAAGACTTCATCGTTTTTACATTAGATGTCCTTCTTACTTCGTCTGAGAGCGGGCGCCTCAGAAGAGATGAAGAAGTGTGCGGTGCTTTGCCTCACGGAAACGTGGATTACAAGTGAAACACCGGACACAGTCTTCCAGCTGGATGACAGACTTTTTTTTCGAGCGGACCGCTGCAGCGAGCTAACGGGGAAATCACGGGGAGGCGGAGTATGCATTTACGTGAGTAAAAGTTGGTGCACGAACTGTACTGTTGTAAATAGCTCATGCTCGAAGGCTTTGGAGCAAATAACAGTAAAATGTCGGCCACATTATCTACCCCGAGAGTTCACGGTGACTTTTATCACTGTCGTTTACATTCCTCAGGACGCTAATGCTAATGAATCACTGCAGGAGCTTCATGATATCATCAGCTCGCTGCAGAACAAACACCCCGAGGCTCTTTACGTGGTAGCCGGAGACTTTAACCAGGTGAATCTAAAGGACTGTCTCCCAAGCTTTAATCAACATGTGACAATTCCAACACGTGGAGACCACACGCTGGACCGTGTTTACACGAACGTAAAAGATGCATACAAAGCTGAATCCCGCCCCCACCTAGGACTGTCAGACCACATCTCAATCTTCCTGGTTCCTGCTTACATGCCCCCGCTGAGACGCTCCAGACCGGTACAAAAGAAAGTTAAATGCTGGATCCAGGACAGTGGCCCCATACTGAGAGATTGTTTTGACCGAACAGACTGGCAGGTTTTCAGAGAAGCCGCTGAAAATGGAGGTTCACTTGATCTTGACCAATACACATCCTCAGTTCTGGGTTACATTAGTACATGTACTGACACCGTCTCCACTATCAGAAATGTTAAAAGCTACCCAAACAGAAAACCTTGGCTGAATGCAGAGGTGTGTACCCTGCTGGAAGCCAGGAACACTGCCTTCAGGTCTGGAAACTCAAAGGAGCTGAGTAGGACAAGAAAAGAGCTGGTTGCTGGTATTAAGAGGGCCAAGGCCACATATGCAAAGAGGATCGAGGGTCAATTCATCTCACAAGACCCTCGGAGCATGTGGAGGGGCATTAAGTGCATAACAGATTATAAAGGAAGGAG